ATAGCTCTTCCTGTTTTTCCAGCAGCTTTGCCTGCTCTTTAGCAATTTAACTTCCGAAAACAAATCTTCACTAGTCAGTAGAATAAAAAATGACACTGCCTTTCCCTCATTTTCCTCTGTCCTTTTCTTTGTAGAGGAAATAGATGGGCATTTCATTTGATGCACAAATATATACCAATGCCTCGTGGTAATCTAAAGTCACTGGAATTGCTCCAGAGATAAATCTGATCCAGCTGCAACTAAGAATCTTTATTTGTGAAAGTACACTTCACTGTAATTAATTAGTTCACCCCAGTTATCCTTGGAATTATGTATTAAACATGTAACTCACTATTCAGTGACTTCACAGCACAATGAATTTTCCTGCCATCGTTATCCAGCAGTGTCCCATGGTACACACACCCAAAATGTCCTGTGAAAAAAATGAGCAAGATTAGCTTTAATAAGTAAAATTAGCTTTCTGGTATTTTCCGCTGGGTAGCAATTATGCTTTAAGAAAGTGATCACACTCCATTTCTGTCCAATTCCCAACACTTGTAATGTATACTTCATAACTAACACATAAAACTATCATTACATAAAACCATTATTACATAAAATGAAAACTCTATTTGCAGCATAATTGATATTTCTTGACCTAGATGGAGAGCATAAGTAATGACAAGGCTCGCGCCACAACTGCTTCATATTCTTGTAATGACTATGCACACAAAAACCATGTCAGCCCATTCCCACCATGCTCTCTTGTCAGATATATGCCAAAGGAGGGCACTGGAAGGCACAAGAGAGCAGTTAGAAGGAGCTGACATAACCACTGGATCGGTGGTTCTCAGTGGTCTGTAAGCCCATGCTAAGTGGTCCACTGGATTGTACAGTCTTGATGCTTCTTCAGTGGAAAGGTGTATAAGGAGGGTCACTGTGGGCTTACAGTCTCTCAGGTCTTGCTATTCCGTGGAAAATGCTGAGTGTTAAAAGTGGTGTGTTGGCCGTGAACGGTTTGGGAGTTGTTCTACTGATCACAGACTGACCACATCACTAGGCGGCAGCCTATGGTCTCTGCTATGGCCTCGTTCCTAGTGCAAAATATCACTAAAAGATGATGAGCGAAATTTGCCTTCTTGCAGATGGTCTAAGCAGTGAAATAAACTGCCAGGGACGCAGAAATCCTTCCTGATCCCGGGCTTTCCTGTGAAGCAAATGGGGTAGCCTGCAGAGCAGGGAAACCTACTATGAGAAGTCAAATTGACCTGTTTGGGACACACAGAGAACTTTGAGCTCCAGGCACGTGCATTAATTTATCCAAATCAAATTATGTACATGTAATGGTGGCTTTCCTTCACAGATGTACTATTTACTAGACACTTTTAAAATATTAATATTTGCAGTTAGAAAGCAAAATAGTTTTTTTGTCAAGTGTGAGTTCTGCAGAGAACAAGACTATCTGATTAATTCTACTAGGTTCCAGTCATAAGCGCTGGTGAGAGCCCAGTTGGCTTTGATTTTGTCTTGGGGTGAAATTAATACAAAATTTGTTTTACAAAAGCAACTAAAATCCCATTGGACCACAGATTGTTTGGAGCCTGGGCACAAATCCTAATGCTTGGATTGGGTGTGTCTGAAATATTTTTGGGTTTGGCCCATTTCTAGTTACGGAGGAGAAAATTAGAAAAGGTTAGTTACATCGGTGTCATTCCAGATATTTTTCAACATTTAAAAAATGGGAAATTACTTGGCCTTTTCTGAAACAAGAAAGAAAAGAAAAAGGCCCACCCTTGCTTTGGGGATGATGAAGTGTAATACGTGGAAGAGAAACACACTGACTGTTTGTTTGATTTGTGGCTATTTTCCTGCAGAAGAGGCATTAGGAATATCATCTATAGCCAAATTTTTATCAGTACTCTGATACTTAACAAGAGACCTGTCATGCATGATCTGCAGAAGCACTGAAAATCCAGTTTCTACTTGGGTTACTAATAGGTACTCAATAGTACACAGTTCAATAAATGCCCCTAACAGAAATACTGGCTTGGCCTATGAAAGAAGGAGGGAACCTGCTTACGGAGATGTAGAGGAATAGGACTGATGGGAGAAATTCAGAAAAATAGGTGACTGGCTTTATCAGGGACAAAAATAAGGGGAAGTGAATCAGGAGCTACGCATTACTGCAGCTGGAATGAGAGAGGAATCGGGGGGATGGAGAGCCTTTGGCAGGAGGAAACAAACAGCGAATTTCTCAGAGCTGGGGGAAACTTGCGGAGGAAAAAGGGGTGTGTGCATTTCACCTGGCCCATGGGGACTTTTACTGAATGCACTAGTGACTGCAGGACTTTTCAGTGTGGTGTAGCCATCTTGCCAGCTCTCAGGCTCCGTGTTTAAGGTCACTGGCGCTCCTGCCTCAGTATCGCCTGCCATTTAGGTGTGTGCCTTTAGGCTCATGCAATATTCTGCGGCAGCCTCACTCCTGCACCGCAGCCTCATGGACCAGAAGCCCTGGCTGGGCTTTACCGTAGCCTGGAAAAGGGTGAGAGTGAGGCAGCTGAGGGGGAACCAGCAAGTCTCTGAGTTCAAAGGAGCCCCATTAATTGGCAGACTCCTTCCTCCCTCTGGTGTCTTCTCCAACTGATCAAATGCACAACGCTTCATCTGACTTCAAAGGAGAGCCCCTTGGTTCTCCCCTTGATTTGGTGCGTGGGATGCAGTGCTGTAAGAGGTAAAAAGCTTGAAAAACCTCCGTGCAGACACCTTATTCAGAATGGTTTATAATGAATGGGTGTGCAAAAAGAACAGCAGTTTGCAAGGTAAGAGTCGTGGTACCCACCTCTTCCTATTACTTCGCTGAAGTGCACGATCAGGCTGTCAGCACCAATAACCACATGCTGCACTTCTTTGACCAAGTCGGGGTTTAAGGCACTGATGTCAATGTGGACATTAGTTTGGAGAAGTGGACTGGCTAAATCTGAGTCCCCGCTGGACAGAATTGGGGAGAGGTCAGAGTGAGGATACTGGGCAGGTCTGCACGATCCATTCTGAGACATGCTTGGAAACTGGTCTGCAAGATGAACAGAAACTGTTATAAACCTTTCAGACTTCTCCTTGGAAAATGAAGAGCTTTATTTCATTGGCGAGCAAGGGTTTGAGTTTATCAGTTTGGAAGTGGCTTGGCTTTGCAGAAGTTTTGGTCACAAAGGGAAAATGAAAATATGCATTGCTAATCTGCCAAACTCCAGGAAAACCGTGTCACTAGAAACTTATCCTTGTCTCAGCTCTACTTTTACAGAAGTAAATGGCAAAACTTCCACTTTTCTGAGGGGATGGAATGAAGCCTTGTCACTTCTTGCCATGTGTAGTTTATAGCATTTCTAGTAATTGGCAGTAATGAGAGTAAAATGGAAAAATGACAGCGATATGGGAGGAGGAAGTAGTGAACAATTAAAAACATGAAACTTTTTATTATTGGCATGTTCTAATTTGGTAGGGAACTTTACATTTCATGAAGGTTTCCAAACTGCTGGTGACTGGCTGTATTTATCCAATGGTAAATATTCAACCAGGGAAATGCCTAGAGGTGATTCATATCCTGTAACTGCTGAAGATAATACAGTTGGTGCTACTCATGAAAATAACATGAGCCAGCTGATTTAAAATAGCAGAAATTAAAATGTTTCAGTCAAGCAAGGAATATTTGTTTGAGAAAATTATTTTTGTCAACAGCATGTTGTTCAGGTATTTTAAATTGCTTTTATTTAAAAGATTTTTTTCTAGCATTTTGTGTAACAGAATCAAGGAACTAAGTTTAATTTACACCAATTCCAGTCTGGAATGATTTTTGAGAAAATTATTTTTGTCAACAGCATGTTGTTCAGGTATTTTAAATTGCTTTTATTTAAAAGATTTTTTTCTAGCATTTTGTGTAACAGAATCAAGGAACTAAGTTTAATTTACACCAATTCCAGTCTGGAATGATTCCAGTGGAATGAGTGAGCAGAATTTAGCCCAGGGTCAAAAAGAAAAAAAAGGAATAAATTTAAAAACAGAAATGATCAGATATTTTATCCCAAAGAGTAAAAGGTTGTTGTACAGACATGCCATATATATTTATGTATAAAACCTGGGAAGTTTTCATATAGGGCTGTTATCACTCTAGGTGCTGAGAAAACCTCAGATTCCAGTGGAATGAGTGAGCAGAATTTAGCCCAGGGTCAAAAAGAAAAAAAAGGAATAAATTTAAAAACAGAAATGATCAGATATTTTATCCCAAAGAGTAAAAGGTTGTTGTACAGACATGCCATATATATTTATGTATAAAACCTGGGAAGTTTTCATATAGGGCTGTTATCACTCTAGGTGCTGAGAAAACCTCAGTGCTGCTCTATCTAGAAGCAAAAATACACATTTATGTCACCAAGGACAAATATCTATGTAATAGTCACGGTAAAATACTCTAGCCATGGCTGCAAAATAATTTTTACAGCTGCTACATGTAAATCTGCGTGTTTTCTAATGTTCCTGTCATTTTATTCTTTGACAGTAATTGACGTGAACATTCCTACAGGAACATTAAGCGAATGCACCTCCTTCTTGGGTGCGCTCTCTGCTGTGCTTTGCCAGTGCACAGTGGCCCCAGGACCACTGCAGATTTACCTTC